ATTTTTGAATTTCTTTCTAATAGAATTTAAATTACATATCTTAACAACGTAAAGTATTTTAATATTATAATAAATATAATGCAATCAACAAAAAAAATCCAAATAAACCCTCGAAATATGTGAAATTAAGAGGATATGCCTGTCGTTAATATTTCGACACAAACATGCTCATGCGGTCCAATATTTGCTCCAAGTATATCCTTAATTTAAATGGTTCCATATGGAGGACATATTTGATCTCAGGTGTATACTTTGAGGGTATTTTTAGTCCTTAAAGTTATTAAGCTTTTATATATGGGAATCTTACATAAATGTCTTAAATAAGTTCCAACTTACTAATCTCTAGCTAACCATATATAAAAATTGAGAATTTAAATAAATAAGGTTCTTCCTCTCCAAGAATCAGATGCAAAGATCTCTTTTCAGATTTTTAAATGTGATCAGCAATATTAAATGCATGACAGAAAGAAAATTTCACGGATGAGTTAGCAAACAAGGTGATGAAATTTAAAAAGTATATATACAAGATTCTAATAATCTAAGCAAAAAAGGATCCTTTGCAATGGGTATGGTTGAAATTCATTGAAAACATATAGACGAGTCAATATACAAAATTTGAGGAAGATTGGGGGTGATTTGGACTGATTTGGTATCAAAAGTCATAGATAAAATCGAGTTAAAAAATTCTTCTGCGATATATGTATCAAACGTGTACTCCCTCCGTTTCATATTACAGTAGATGAGTAATTTGACTCGGCACGGAGCTTGAGAAAAAAGAAGAAGACTTTTGAAACTTGTGGTCTTAAAAGCTTAAAAGGTTTGTGGGGCCATGACATTTGTGTGGCTATAAAAGCTTCTCATTAAGGGTAAATAGGTAAAATGAAAGAGTTTAAAGTTGAATTATTTCCAAATTTAGAAATGTGTCATTTGTTTTGGAACAGACTAAAAAGGAAAGTACCTCATCTAATATGAAACGGAGGGAGTATCACATATGTATCACACACGCAGATATACACGGATATACATGTGATACACATTTGATGCAAATATGATACATACATGATACACAAATGATACATAGTGTGATACACATATTTTTTTTTCATGTTTCATCTTCTACTTCGAATTTTCAATTAAAATTATGTCACTACCCGAATTTCCCACCCTCGGGGGTCGTGATGGCGCCTACTCGTAGTAGCTAGGCAAGCCATTTTGATTACTTTTCCATTAATAAACAAATCTTTTTAACAATCTATGACAACAATATAAAACAACAAAACTAATTAATAGCGGAAGTCTTAATTATAGAAACTGAATAAAATACGGAGTAGTCAATATAAGCCTCTACCCAAGACTGGTGTCACAATACTCACGAACTGCTAAGAATTTCTAAATACAAGGGTCTGAAAGAACACATAAACTGTTTGTCTCGAATATAAAGAGGCAACAGTCTAAAAGAGAGAATAAGAGAGAGACGCCGGGCCTGCGGACGCCTGCAAGGCTACCTCGGATCTCACGATACTGAAAGCCTGCTCTCGTGCTAATGCTGCTGCTGCTGCTCGAAACCTGGGCCTGTGCAAGAAAATGCACAGAGTGTAGCATCAGCACAACTGACCCCATGTGCTGGTAAGTGTCTAGGCTAACCCCGGCGAAGTAGTGTCGAGGCTAGACCAGACTACCACATAAACCTGTGCAATTTCATATATATATATATATGTATATATATATATATATATATACAGCGGAATGGGGGGGGGGACATGCTGTGGGGAGTATAATAAATTCCAAATAAGAGTCGTCCAGTAATAAAGGAATACAGCACAATTCAATAGTCTGTAATGAAACAGAATTCAACCAGCGCACGGCATCACCCTTCGTGCTTTTACTCTCGTCCTCACCAAGCAATAACATGTGCACGGCATCACCCTTCGTGCTTTTACTCTCATTCCTCACATATATCAATAGAATGGGCACGGAATGGTACATCGTGCGGCCCGGCATCACCCTTCGTGCTTTAACACTCTTTTTCATAATAAGCAAACAATGCACGGCATCACCCTTCGTGCTTTACACTCTTTCCTTACCATAAACAAACAATGCAAGGCATCACCCTTCGTGTTTAAACACTCTTCCTCACCCAATCAACAATCACGAACAAGGGCAAGGGAATAAATAAACAATAACGAGAATCCCGGAAAGGGAACACAAACAACAATAAAATAACCCGGCAAGGGTACAATATCAATAACCAACAACGTCCCGGCAAGGGAATAAATCATTAACTCTTTTCTTTCTTTCACTTTCATCTCATAGTTCACATTATCACTTGAGCCAATGCTCCAAAGAGTTACTTATCTCATATACCTTCACAATTCGTATTTCAACCCGAGCCAATGCTCCACGAAGTTTCAAGATCACAATTCCTTTCACAAGGTCTTTACAACATATAGAATTCATCATTTAAGCATGGAAGGCATAACAACAACCAAACTATTCGCAAATAAGGACTCACGGTCATGCTAGACACCAATGTCTAGATACTCATCACCATGCCTATACATCGTACTCGACAATTAGCAAGTTACAAATAAGACTCAACTCCTATTCCCTTAAGCTAGGGTCAAACCAAACACTTACCTCGATGCCTTGAACTCAACTCAAGCCTCAACTATGGCTTTACCCCGTAATTCCACCTCCAATCCTCTCGAATCTAGCCACAAATTACTTAATTACATTAATAAACACTAAATGAATCAATTTGAATGCATAAAAATAAATTTCCCAAAGTTTTTCCCAAAAATTCCAAAATCACCCCCGGGCCCACATGGTCAAAAGCCGAGGTTCGAACAAAAACCCGGTTACCCATTCCCCCACGAACTCAAATATGTAATTTATTTTGAAATCGAACCTCAAATTGAGGTCCAAATCCCCAATTTTAGAAAAACCTAGGTTCTACCCAAAACCCCCAATTTCACCCATTAAAATCTTTGATTTTAAGTGAAAAACATGTTAAATGATGTTAATGATTGAAGGAATTGAGTAAAAATTGACTTACAAATGATTTGGAATGAAACTTGTTCTTGAAAAATCGCCTAAGGAGTTTGGGTTTTGAAAGAATGATGAAAAGTGGTAAAAATTCGACTAAGTATAATATTTGCTGGGCCTCAGATGTGGCAATTGCGAAGTCGAGTTCGCATTTGCGAACTCTGAAGAAAACTGGTAGGTTCGCATTTGCGAGAGAAAATGTCGCATTTGCGACGGCTCGCTATCGCATTTGCGAACAAGTGTTCGCATTTGCGATGGCTGAGGCTACATGCGGGCATCGCATTTGCGATGGAATTCTTCGCATTTGAAGGATGCTGCCCAGGTGAAGTCTCGCATTTGCCTGCAAGTCAGGCGTACCAGCAGTCTTATAAGTTCAAAAATGCAATCCGACACCTATCCAAAACTCATCCGAGCCCTCGGGGCTCCAAACCAAATGCGCACACAACCTCAAAAACATCCTACGGACTTACTCGCGCGATCAAATCGCCAAAATAACATCATATACATCGAATCAAGCCTCAAAACTCATGATTTCTTCCAAACTCTCATAAAACATAAATTTTCCATTTTAAGTCCGAAACACGCCAAACGACGTCCGTTTTCAACCAAACTTTACAGAAAGCGTTTAAACCATATATAAGACTTGTTCCGGGCGCCGGAACCAAAATACGGGCCCGATACCACAGTCTTTTAATCAAATTTCATTTCCAGTTTCCTTAATAATTTCAGAAAAATAATTTTACTCAAAAATTCATTTCTCGGGCTTGGAACCTCGGAATTCGATTTCGGGCATACGCCCGAGTCCCATATTTTTCTACGGACCCTCCGGGACCGTCAAATCACGGGTCCGGGTCCGGATCCGTTTACCCAAAATGTTGACCGAAGTCAATATATTCATATTAATATCAAAATTTAGCATTTTTCACACGGAATTCATATTTAAGCTTTCCGGCTACGCGCCCGGAATGCGCACGCAATTCGAGTCAACCCTAAATGAGGTTTTCAAGGCCTCGGAAGCACGGAATGAATGAGAAAACAGGTGATGACCCTTTGGGTCGTCACAAATCTACATTCCAGGAAATTCATACGCTCCGCGGACGGAGCAAAAAGTGGAGTCCCGTCAAGTCATCCCAAAATTGAGATTCAATCTCCTTAAGATATACTCAATCTATTCTAATAATACTTACTCAAAAGAAAACAAATTTTTGACCTTGTTTTAGCTACAAATAGCTAATTGACAAATATTGATAATATTTAGCTAATATTAGTAATATTAAATGAATTGTCAATTTTAATAATAAGCTATTTATAAATGAATATAGCTGGTAGTTTCCCTTTGAGTTATGTTATTTGGTTTATGGTAACATAATGGAGGTTTATAATTATACAATCCCTCTCAAGTCGATTTTTTTCTTCTGTAAATCTTAAATATGAACAAAGAAAGGCAAACTCTTGAGTGGGCGTTTGGACATAAGAATTGTAAAAATTGTAAAAAAGAAAAAACGTAAAAAAAATTTCAAGAGAAAATGGCATTTGAAATTTTGAGTTGTTTTTGAAAATGAATATAATTTTGGGTTGTTTTTGAATATTTATGAGTGATTTGAAGTGAGATTTTTGAAAAACAACTTATTTTGAGTTTTTCAAATTTTTAAAAATGTCCGAAATTTATTTTTCAAGTGAAAATCGAAAATTTAATGGCCAAACACTGATTTCGAAAAAAGTATAAAAGAATTCCAAAAAAAGGGAACCTTTTTTGAGGTATTTCTCTTTCAACACATTGTTTAGGTTTTTGTACACTTTACTTTTCTTGTTCCTAAATTATGTTTTTCTTTGTTCCTAAGCAAGTGTTTCATGGTCTTTCTATTTATTCTTAATTAAAAACTTTTATAATCTCAATAATATTATCAATTATTTAAGATCAATAATCGTAAAAATCTTCCTTCGAGTCACATAAATTGAGATGAAGAGAGCAATAAATGTTATTTTAAACGAACAATTTAATACATTGAACAAATTCCTCAATCCTACCGAGAAGAACAAATTTCTACGAGGAGAGGAAATGAAATAAAATATTGAACTCAACCTATTCATGAAATTGTACAATTTTGAAATTCCCAAATTAACCCTCAGCTGTATAGTTGGGCAACCTTCTTCGTCCTCTTCGTCGAAACATTTTCCGACGACGATGAGGAAGAACTCTCCGGCGAAATTGACGACCTCTTCGAACCAACCCGAACCGGTTCCGGTTCACCCGAATCAACCCTCAACGGAAAATTCAACAATGCACGCGAGCCCCGAATTCGGTACGCCGCTTTATCGTACGCCAACGCCGCATCCTCCGCCGTCTCGTACGTCCCCAGCCAAGCCCTAGCTCCGTTCTTCGCCGGATCCCTAATTTCCGCCGCAAATTTTCCACACGGCCTCTGTCTTACTCCCCTGTAACGCTCTGCTTTTTTCGCTCTCGGCGGCGCAGCCGCAGGTGCGGTGAAATTATACATTTCCGGCGAACTAACGCTAACTTCAGGTTCTGTTTTGACAGCAGATTGTGTCGGCTCGTTAATGGCATTATTGTAAATATACATGTTTTCTGTGTCATTTTCTAAGAAATTAGAAAATTCAGGCTCGATTTTGACAGCAGAAGCTGAATGCTCAGTAATGGCATTACTGTAAATATATCTATTTTTCGTGTCATTTTCATTAATTGGAAATTTTTCCCAATTATCAGAAAATAAATTAGGAAATATTTGGGTCTCAGTGGAATAAAGAGAAGTGGAATTTTCGGAATTTGATAAAGGGGAGTTCCAGTCTTCAAGTAAGTGTTGCCTAATTGATTCAAGAAGTTCAAAATTAGTGATAAATTCACTGTTTTCAAACATCATTTTTGCTATAAAAAAAATAGAATTAAATTTTTGAAAATTTGGATAGTTCAGATTGAGTTATGAGCTTTTCCAATAAAAATGAGTAGTGGGGGTTTATATATACTCGAGGGTTGAAACTGTAGCAGCTACTTTCGAAGTAACGAAAGAAAATCAACGACGGGAACAAAAGAATTTAAATATGAAAATGTGATTTGAATATTTGAGTGTGAATAAATTCTGCAGAAACTAGAGAGAAAAATGATGAAATTGAGTTTTTTGGAAAATAAGGTTGAATGGGGTATATATATGAATTATGAGAACAGGTGCATGCACGTAGCTGATTCCTTTCATGATTTGAGTAATTAAAGAAATATTTTTGGAAACTTTGTTGAGGTTCTATGAAGTTTCTATGTAGAGAAAGTTTGACAGAGTTTGGTAGATGAGGACTGCAATCACGTGCGTTATAATTCTACTATATTAGAAGTGGGAGTGCACTAGGTGAAGCTAGGCAGGGGCGGATTTATAGCCTATTTTACGGGGAATGTGAACCGATGTTCTTTTGCTAAATCAAATATTTTATGTATATATTTGTTAGAATTGATCTAATATATTTGCTGGCACCCATGCTCTAAAAAGACTAAATGATGGTTGGCTCGATTGTTAATTAATCTATATTTGCATTGCATATGCTCACCTATATAACAAAATGCTCATTATCAAGAGGTTACCTAGGTTCTCCATTATCAGAGTCCAATTTCGGAACCTCTAACTAAATATGGAGAACCTCAACCATCTCACCGTATCTCTTTGTGATGGTTTTGAATATATACGCAAAGAATGTAAGTGAAACTTTTGAACATGGAATAATCTAAAGATATTCAATATATTTGACATTTGAATCACACATGAGATCATGAGGGTTGATGTCACACGTGTAGCAACGAGTAAAGCAACAAAACAATAATAAATCCAGTATAATTTTACAAGTGGAGTCTGCGAAAAGTAGTGTGTACACAATCTTATCCTATCTTGTGAAGGTAAATAGACTATTTCTGATAGACATTCGGCTCTGAAAACATCGAGTATAGCATGTTTACAAAATAAAGGTTTTGACTCGATCAAATCTACTTCATTTTCACTAGCTAGGACATGGATTAAAGAAAAAGTACTAATATAAACTATTTACAATTTTGACGTATGGTTTCTTTTGTCCATTTTTATACTCTTCTATTTATGTAGATTAATTACCTATTATAAAAAGTTAGATATATTTTTTACCTTTTTATATAAATACTAAATACAAGTTGATGGATCACCATATGTAACTTCTTTAAATAAAGAATAATTCACTATTGGATCCTTCGATCGTGTGGACGTCAAAATCTTCATTTTCATGAGCAGCTGGAATCCAGGAATCAGGTATAGGTGCTGTCAGTTTCATAGACGAGAGACCCCCTGACCCACTAGTGGTTTTAGTTGGTAAATGACAACAAATTCAAGAACTTAAAGCAGGAATATTTAGCTATTTATTCTTAGAGAAAACGTGACTTCCCTACTCTCTTATTTTTTCAGAGAACGACAACTGCCTTGTACGTAGAGAAAAAAGCCTCTCTAATAATCTAATATAGTAATTACATGCATTTTTTTATATCAGCCAAAACCGCAAAGAAAATAATTTCAGGTGATGGAAAATTAAAAATACATATCCTTTAGACAGAGCTGTCATTTCTCCACCTATTTTTTCTTTTTTTTTTAAAGTTCCTATAAAACTAAATTCTAACAAAATTTGTCCAAAAGTTTGACCAATTTATGTCTCTTTGTTATAAATAGAATTGTGTTTATGGTGAATGTCTGTATTTAGAGAGATTCTAGGGTTCATTACTTGGTGGTTAAGTCATCCTCTTCCTATAAATAGAGGGTTCTATTCTATTGTAATTCATCCAATATCAATAAGAATTCTCTCTCTCTGTACTTTTCTCTGCAATACTCTTCTTCTTCATTTATTGTTTTATAACACGTTATCAGCACGAGACTCTAACCAATTGAGTAGAAGTTTTGGGATTGAGAATAATGATGGTCAATTGTTCTATGAATTTCCTTTATGATTAAATTCTGGATTTAAGGTAAGTATTTTACCGTATTTTCTCTTTTATTCTATAATTTGATTTTAAATACAAGCAAAGACATATAAATTTTGATTACAACTCTAATAGAGTTTGTAAAAAATTATAACCACCTGAAGTGGTAAAATTTCTATGCCTTGCCATGATCAAATTCATGTATGATTGTGGGCAAAGAGGTGGAAACCCGTCCCATTGAATTTGCTTCATTCCCATTCCCTTAAGAGAATGTGGTAGCAATATGTGATAAGTCTGAAAGAAGACAAAATTATTACCGTGAAGGTATCAATGAATGTGGACGTGGCAATAGATGAAATTATAATCGTCATCTTTTGTGGTAATGAGAACAATAAGGATTCTCAAAATAATCTTTCACTCTGTGAAAAATATTTGTCATCGATTTGACATGAGATTTGTAAAGCACATATAGATGATTATGGTCCATTCATGATGTGAGTGTGACAACATCTGATTTATGAATACATATTCATTCTTCAAAGAATATGAACGTGCTAGTGGTAGTGAATATACCGCACTCACCTCTAAAAGGAGGTTTGAGATGATATAAGAAAATAATGTCATTATTATGGCATGAATGGACATTGGTCACGTACTTATTGTATGCCAAAATATTTTGGCATTGTGATTATTAAAATACAACAGTAATGCAAGAAACAGATCTTGCATATAATTTTGACCATAACCATAATGGTATAACTTTCTCTTTAAAAGAGATAATCACCATATGGATGTTGATGAATATGTGGTAATACCAAATTAATTGAGAGCTCTGGAAGGGCCAATTATTACTATTTTGGAGGAATAAAATTGATTATCAATAAGGCATTATGTTGTAGTAAGTCTCAAAGAAACTTAATTGAGTTTCTAAAGTATTCGCAAAAGCGATTGGTCATACTGAGACTATAAATTGTCACGATCCGGATTTCCCATCTTCGGGAGTCGTGATAGCGCCTACTAATAGGAGATAGGCAAGCCAATTAATTTAATACCTCTCTTGACAACACCAGCAATATAAAGAAAGACGAGACAATTAATATAAAAGCGGAAGTCTCAAAACATAAATAACTGAAACCAAGTGCGGAAGCTCAAATACATCTCTACCCAGGTCTGGTGTCACTAACTCACGAACTTCTACAGAATGCTAAATACAAAGTCTGAATAAAAACACAGTACTATCTGATCCGATACAAAGGAAATCAAACGAAAAACAAGGATAAGAGAGACTCCGGGCCATGCGGACGTCAGCAAGGCTACCTCGGGAATCTCTGGACTGAAGTCAGCTCCCAATGCTCCTACTGCTGTCCAAAAGCTCCTGCTCCGGTACTGTGATCTGTGCAAAAAGATGCACAGAGTGTAGCATCAGCACAACCGACCCCATGTGTTGGTAAGTGCCTAGCCTAACCCCGATGAAGTAGCAACGATGCTAGACAGGACTACCAATCAACCTGTGCAGATATATATATACAAACACTACAAAGATAACAGCGGAAGGTAATAATTAAGACTGGGAGGGGAACATGCTTTTGGGGATAACAGATAAAATAGAACGGTAGGAATAAATAAGGAAAACTACAACTAATCTCTTCTAACACAGAATACGTGGTCGGCGTGCCACACGATCCCATTTTATGATATATAAGTGGTCGGCGTGCCACACGATCCCATTTCATAATATATAAGTGGTCGGCGTGCCATACGATCCCATTTCATGGTATATAAGTGGGCGGCGTGCCACACGATCCCATTTCATAATATATAAGTGGTCGGCGTGCCACACGATCCCATTTCATGATATATAAGTGGTCGGCGTGCTACACGATCCCATTTCATAATATATAAGTGGTCGGCGTGCCACATGATCCCTTCTCATTATATATATATGGTTTCCCGGCAAGGGAACAAGTATCAATTCAACTATCCCGACGAGGGAGAATACAAGTAAACAGCTAGTTCCCGACAAGGGAGTAACGACAATAACTTACACGTCCCGGCAAGGGAATAATTACATCTCTTTCTCCTTCGTTCATTTCTTACTTCCTAACCAAGTCATAATTCGACAACGCTCCAAGGAGTTTACAAGTCATATTTCCCCTTCATACTGTTCACATTATATAACAACTATCAATTAAACAAGGAAGAGTAACTACAGAATCCCAAATAAGCACAAATAAGGACTCACGGTCATGCTAGACACCGGTGTATAGATACTCGTCACCATGACTATACACCGTACTCCACATTTAGCAATTAGCAAATAATACTCTACTCCTATTCCCTCAAGCCAAAGTTAGATCAAACACTTACCTCGAATGCTCCAAACTCAACTCAAGCCTCTAGTATAGCTTTACCCCTCGAATTCGGCTCCAAATCAGTCAAATCCAAATGGTCTTGAAGAATGGGGTCTTCAATGGAGTCCTAGAGCTTGGGGAAGAAGAGAGCTCGTGAGAAATTTCAGTTAAACCCGTAACTATTCTGTTTCTGGACTTAAATTATAACTGGGCGATTTTGCCCTACGCGTTCGCTGGAGAGAGATCGCGTTCGCGATGGGCAACTGGTCGGTGTATCGCATTTGTGATGGAAAGGATGCGAACGCGAAGTAGGAAGCT